TTCAAAGCGTTTATTAACCAAAACAGGAGCGCGGGGCTGCTCGTCTGCTGCGGGGCGGATCTCTGCAGAGATGGGAGAATACAGGTCAGTGACTGGATGTGGAGCTGAATACGACTTGGAGCAAAGTCACTGACCTGATTCAAAGTTCAGTCCGTTCGCGGAGAACTCAGCAGAATCCAGGAGGGAGGTTTGACCACAGTGTTCCTAGAGAGGGAGTGGAGTAGGCGCCAACCGACGCCGAGCAGCAACAGAGTCCAGAAGGGAAATCCAAGGCCAAAGTCAGAAGACAGTTCCAGGTTCAGAAGCCGGTAGAATCCAGGACCAGATGCGACAAACAGGGCAGACTGGGGCAAGGCAAAACTCGAGATCCTCAGGGCAGAAAACTGGTCAAAATCAGGGAAACAGACAGACTAAAGAAAGCTAGGAAACATCTCACAAAAACACTCGAATAACCTGGCGCTGACAGGAGGCAAACACACAACTTAAATAGTAGAGGAACCAGCTGGAAATGATCTGCGATAATCAGCCGCAGGACCAATTAGACAGGGGAGCAAGGAGCAAAGGAAAAATCCAAAAAACAGCGCCAAGATCATGACACAATAATTGAGTCAGTGCGAGATTGCCAGAATAATGTTACGTTACACACTAAACTATAGGATACATTGGTTTATATATGGATTTTCTTGGTTTGTTCATCCACTGACTGTGAAATTACCTGTAAAAAATCTCCCCACAGCTGGCAAGCTGCATGTTTTTGCAGCCAAATAGGCTACTACCCATGTAGGCATTTTTATGGTGCATCTCTGTGAGAGTGGGGAGTACCAATATGGTGGCCAGTGGCTTCACTTTCTTCGGGCAATCAGCAATCCAGTTAATAAATCAGTGAGCTAGCTCTATAAGCGCTTCCTTATTAGTCCAGATGTGCTGCAGCTGCTTAACCACACCTGCTGAGAGACAATAATCTGCGGGCGGCTGTGTGGATCCCGCACCTCGTTTATTTCTGTTCCTGGAAGCACTGAGCAGGCAGGTCTCTGAGGATCTGCGACCTCCTGAGGACCACTCAGCATAGTGTTCCTGGATTTTACTGAGAGAGTTCAGGTGTCATATTTAATTAATGATTATATAATGTGGAAAGTAATGATGGTGAGATGAAGCCTCATGAACCAGTGAACCTTTTGGGCAAATAGCTTCAATGAACCCCATATTTCATGAGGCCATAGGCGGATCTACTGGGGTGGCATAGGGTGGCAAATGCCTCCCTAAATGACAGCCTTGCCACCCCAGTTGGCTGTAGGGGTGGCGAAGCTTATAAATTATGGATAATTTGAGAATTACTAAAGCTAATTTCTAATGTCGGACTGCAGTGAATGCAGCACGAAATGACACGAGAGCGACTGATTTGTTTTAAAAACCAAATGGGGCAAAGCGAGGGAGCCAGGGGTCATGGGGAGAGGAGACACAGGATGAAACAGGTAAAAACTGATTAACTATCTATCGAGATGTAATCATAATGAAAGCACAATGTTGCTAGCATAGCTGCAATGCTGATTTTGAGATGATAAAAATCAGGTTGCAGAACGTTATTTCTCCAACTATGATG